AAATAAAAATAATAAAATAATAGAAAGGTATAGGCTAAAGTGCACATTCTCCTACAACTGTTTTAGATGTTGGTGCTGTTGTTGTGTACCGTCAAGTCGGAACTGACCCATAGTGACCCTCCGATGGGTTTACAGAGGTAGTTAATCTAACAGAAGGAGATTACCCATCCTCCTCTTGTGCTGGTGGATTCGAACTGCAGCACAGCTTCTACCACGAGGCTGCCAGGGCTCCTACTTTTTTAGATGTGTCTATATTTAAGGAAGGGGAACTCTGGTAACCTAATGATAAGAAGCTATAATTCCAAAGAGATGTGGTTCGGATCCACCAGCTATCCCTCTGGAGAAGAATGAATGGGCAGTCTCCTGTGCAATTTGCTACCTCTGAAAACATGTTGAAGGGTCAGCTTTGAGTTGATTCCAGGGTGATGACACACAACAAGAAGAAACATTTAAACAGTGCACAATCTAGAATCCAGTTTGATACCTTTTTTAAAAAATAAATTGTATCCATACATACTATATTGGTCTTTTGCAACTTGAACTCCCCCCCATTTAATTATATGTCATGGCTCAGGCTGTTTGCATGGTATATTATTGTTAGCTTGTATTGAGTTGTTTTTGACATGTAACAGTCCTGGGGGTGCAAAATAAAATGACAGGATTTTTAAGGCTGTGACCTTTGGGAAGCAAATGGCCATATCTACGTCTAAGGCTCTTCTGGGTGGGTAGCCCAGCATTTTGCCACCTAATGACTCTGAGTAGTATAAAAATGTATCTTCTTGTAATTCCACTAAAATATTTCATAAAAATAAATGTTTACTGATACAGAACCCCACCAATGATTATTTAGGATATTTGAAATTTCACTATAATGATGCAGGTATGTATTTTACTGAAAAATGAAATTATGTTCACAAGAGTTTGAGTAATTTACCCAGGTTTCATGTAGCTCCTAAGTAGAAGGCCTGGGATTTCAACTAAGGTCTGATTTTAAAGCCTGCCACATTTTGGTTATAATGGAAAAAGGAAAAAAAAAAATCATATGTTAAATGCAGCAGTAAAAAGACATACATCTTTTTATCTCAAAATTTAGAGTTAATTTCCTCCACAGATTTTTATTAAAAAAGGATGTCTCTCACTTTCTAAGTGAACCTGTTTACTTTCTTTTAGGTGTCTCGTCATGAACGGCGAATTTCTCAGATTCAGCAACTAAACCAGATGCCTTTGTATCCAACAGAAAAAATTATATGGGATGAAAATATTGTCCCAACTGAGTACTATTCGGGGGAAGGTATGATAAAACAAGGTTTACATGTAACCTGTCACTTGGTTTAGAATTCATAATAGCAACTGAAAATATGATTTACTCTGTATGCTAAGAAAGTGTCTTGGTAGCCTCTAATTCTGTTTTAAAAGTCAGAAAGTGGCCAACATTTGAGGATTTACATGAGAATTTTCATTAAATTTAACCATGCCCTAAAATATTTTATCACCCAGTACAAAATAGGCTATCAAACAATAAGGGCAGCTTCAGTTTATTATGTGTTGCATTCTTAATCAGTCTTCCCTGTAATGGTTTATGGCCTTGGAAATCCACTGGAGGGTGGCTGTTGAGTTGGAACAGACTTGAAATTTGGATTTGATTAACACTTAAGTGTTAAGTCATCATGAGAGGAGTGTTTGGTACTATTTGATATTTCAAACTTTTTTTTTAGTTGTTGTTGATTGCCTTCGAGTGGATCATGACTCATAGTGACCCTTTGAACAAAAGGCCTGAAGCCTTTCTATAACTATTGATATTTATCAAAGTTCATAGAGTTTCCAGAGGCATGTTGTTTAGAAGTTAGTTAATGAACATCAAAAAGGACTAATTCTGATTAATAAACTTTTATTTATATTCAGTTGAGAAAATTCCATAGGATGGAAGTATTGTCCAGCTGAGTATTGTTCTGGGGAAGGTGTAGTGCAAGAATTGAATACTTTGATCCAAAACATTTTTGACTGCTTTATTCACTCACCTGCTTTGCCAGATTTGGTTCTAAACGATTTTTCAGTCATCCTTACAGTTAAATGTGAAGGTACCGCTGGACACATTTTGAAGACATACTTCAAGAGAAATTTTAGCAAATCATCAACAACATAGTTATTGGAAGAAATAAGGCTATTTTAAAGATACCATATGTATAAGTTTTAGTATACTTAATTTTTTTTAAATAGTGTTTCAGTGTCATCTTGTAGCCCTAACTTCAATACAATTGCTTTAACTAATTGAAAATTTTGCTAGATATGTTTGACAGTTTAACTTTTTGTCTGTTTAGTCCCCAAAAGACAAAATACCACTTAAGAATATTTTAGGAAGGTAGTTTGGTATTTTCCCAGAAAGCTGAACATACCTTAGAAAATGAGAACTGAGGCACAAACAGAGACTTGTACACCAGTTTTAGTAGCAGCATTGCTCCATTATTTGCCATAGGAGGAACATGGAAACAGCCCAGATGTCCAGCTGCAATGGAATGGATTAGGAAACTATGCAGCACGCAGGAACAATGGTTTTGTAAATTGCTACCTAACTCGGGAGGGACTGGAGATCATTATGCTGAGTCAATTAACTCAGGCTCATAAAGACAAATACTGTCAGACCATTTTTGTAGAACAGATATGAGGATCCAAGGAGAGGAGGTAGGAACAGAAGCGTGAGGATGGGATGGAGGGCAGGGTTTCTTAATCATAAGGTCGTACAATTTGATGGGTGGAGGGAGGGGTAGGTAAAGGAAAGGGGAAAGATCCCATATGAAAAGCAGTGTACATGAACTTTGTTAAGTAAATCAATATAAAATAATAATAATAAAGAATAGTTTATCTTTTTAATAATCAAAAAGTACATGCATTATTAGACAAATTAGTGTTACACCTACTTTTTGGGTATTATTCAGATTTTGATCTGATTTTAAAACATCTTTTGTTTTGTAGAAAATAGTGCTTTTCCCCCAGCCCTATGAAAAGGAATATTGCTCAGAATTTAAGGGTTGACTGACACTTTGATAGAATGCATTTCAGAGTTTGTTGGTTGTCTGATGGTTTGACAGTTACTTAGCTATTTTAACAGAGGCTTGGCTAGTGGTACTCTAGGATTAAGTAGGCTAAGAACAAAGCTAATAGTATGTATTATGCAAGTTGTTCTCCAGCACCCAAAGAAAGAAAAATGAGAAAAAAAATTGGGATAATAAAAAAATGCCTTTAAAAACGGCAAAGAAGATCTTTGTGGTATCTTCTCTTAAAATGTAATAAGAAAACATTAAATTCAGAATACAGTGGTGATCTTTAATTCAATGCAATGTGAATATGCTACCAATTTTTCATGGTAAGCTTTGTTAAGACTTTACATCTCAACATGAGGAAAACAAAAATTCTCACCAATGGGCCAAGAGGCAGCAACCTGATAGATGAAGAGAAGATTGAAACTATGAACAAAATTCATCTTCCTTGGATCCACAGTCAACACACTGGGTACCAGCAGTTGGGAGATCAGGAGACATTGCATTGAGAAATTCTTTAGTCAGGTACCTCTCCAAATTAAAAAGGAGTGATGATGCAAATTTCAGAATTTGTACCTGATTCAGGCCATCGTCTTTTCAGTCACTTGCTGTGTATCTGACAGCTAGACAAATAAAGATGACAGAAAAATTGATGTCTTTGGGTTCTGTTGGAGAAGCGTACTGAATATCCCATAGTCTGCCAAAAGCACAGATGTGTCATGGGAGAAAGTGTAGCTAGGGTGCTCCATGGAGGCAAATGACTGAGATTTGTTTCACATATCTTTGGGAATGTTGTTAGGAGACTCTTCCTTGGAGAGGGACATTATGTATGAAAAGGTGGAGGAATAAGAGAGGAAGACATTTCATCAGATAGATTGACGCAGTGATTGCAGCAGTGAGCTTGAGTGTGTGACGATGGCACAGGGTAGGACAGGATTCAGATCTCTTGTTCCTAGGACCATTATGAGTTGTGCTCAATTTAATGGCACCTAACAACAACAAACAACAAGTATCTGTTTCAAGACTTGTCAAATAATTAGGTAATAAAGAATTTTAATGTTTGAGACTATATTAGTTTTAAAGCCATTGCCATTAAGTTAATTCTGATGTGCTGTGAACCTCCATCAGGTTTTTGGGATTATAAATCTTTACGGGAGGAGATTGTCTTTCTCCCACAGGGCAGCTGATAGATTCAAACCACAGATCTTTTGGTTGGCAGTGCAACATTTAATGTGTTATGCTAATAGCTTTTAGTTCCTATATATATGAGCTCTATTTATGCAGGAATCTTTGATATCCATGTTACATATAGTAATGGAACTCATTCATCACTTCAGAGAATTAATAGATAACATTTTATAATTTTTGTGCAAAAATTTAAAAAATAGGTATCCAGGATGCTGTTTTTCAGTCATCATTAAAGTGGGTCTTAACAAATTTGTATTACCAGTTTGTATCAGTTTAACACATGTATGATTAAAAGAATAATCAATGTTCTTTTCTTTTTCAGGTTGTCTAGCTCTTCCCAAGTTGAATTTGCAGTTTCTGACTCTTCATGACTATCTACTTAGGAACTTTAATCTCTTCCGCTTAGAATCAACTTACGAAATTAGGCAGGACATTGAAGACAGTGTCAGCCGAATGAAGCCTTGGTCAGTGCATTGATTACATTTCTAGTGCTGAGCTACAAACCGTTATTGATAGACTTTGGTTGAAAATTTCATCAGCATATTAAAAATCATAAACCTACCGTGAAGATTCCCTCTAAAATATGAGATGTTTTGCCATTTGAAAAAGTCTTTTATGCAGATTAAAATTGTTAAGATAGGAATCTGGACCGTAGAGATCCAGGTGTAGAGGAAAGTAGTTTAGGTTGGCCAGGGGGTCAGCACAAGAGGGACAGGGAAGTCCTGGAGAAAGCTTACACTAAAGTGGACCTCACCACCATTATTGCTCTTGTGATTGTCACCAATAGACTTGGGCTTTCCAACAGTGATCTGAAATGGGAGATGGGGGGGGTGGGAATGTTGCTGAACATGACATGGGAAGAACATCCCTGGACCTTCATCTCTTACCTTAAAGAGGCTGTTCATGATTTACATTTGAGACCAGTTAAGTAGATGTCATTATTTCAGGGATATTGCTCAAATTCCTTCCTGACAGTGATGTCAAGAATTCCTTTACCTAGTAAGAATCTTTCCTTGTAGTTTGTTGTTTTAAGTATATATGAATTGTGAGCATTTATTTTTTTAGACATAGCTATTTTGAGTTATATACCTTTAACTTGCTGGTCTGTCTAATACTTCTCTAAATCTGAACATTCACATTGAGACAGACTAGGAAGAAGGATTGGCCATCCACTTCTGAAACAGCAGGCCTCTGAAAACCCTATGTACAACAGAACACAT